TAATTTTTAGTCGACAGTCTAATTGCTTCACTAATGCCCTGGTGCTTCCATACTTCAGCGTCGTGACCTTCAATTCTCCTGGCCCAGCTTCGCCAAACAAAGTCTGGTGACCTCCACGATCTGAGTGGGTTTTTGCTGACATTCCAGTTAGTCCACTTAAGTCCAGGTTGGTTGAGAAGAAGGTTCTCACCATTACCAAGGGGATAGTATGGAGCTAGCTCGTCTAGGAAGTAAGACGCGAAGGTAGGGCCTAGAGTAGCCTTAGCGACAGAGCTTGTGCTGGGCAATAGGGTTGCACCAAATCTTAGAGGAGCGATACGTGCTCTGATAGGGTTTGGGAAGCGGAGTAGGTCTTCATTGTTCTCCTCAGATGGAGATGGTTGAGATTTTTTCGGCGCTATGGCTTAGGGTTTTGTGGTGCTCTGGTTTTGAACGGCAATGCTTGACAAGAAGGAGTACAGTCTTGGGAGTTCGAATAAGAGGGAAATAAAGTGGTTTGAAGTTGAAAAGGTGAGTCTTTTATAGCTTATGATGGCGCCAGTATATTTAAATGCTCTTATATTGGGCTATAGTTTATGTTTGTTTTGGGCCCGTATTAAAAAATTTGCTATTGGGCACCCTTGTTGAAGTTTAATATCATATGACTTGGACCCCCACAAGGGGGGCACCTCCATGACCCCCTCTCTATCTGATTGGCCAGTTTTTTAAATCTTTTTTTCTTTTTTTTTTCCTTCTCACTGTAATCACCAGCCCCCACGTGTGTGTGTGTGTGGAGGGGGGGGTGGTGGTGGTGCAGGTGGTGATTGGAGGGGGTCTCAATAACTTTCGCAAGGTTAATTCATATGATATTTAACTTGAACAAGGGGGCCATTGTTTGCACCAAGTTTTGCCAGTCTCTGTTGACAGATGGTCCACTTAATTGAGGACACGTGGCCAAGTTTGAAGGAATGTCCAGCACTTGAAAGTGGGCTCTTTGCATGTGGGTCACCTAGAAGTGATGGGGGAAGTTTTTAGCACCAGTCATGGAGTTAGTGGGCACACTTTCAGGAGGAAGCATGAGACAAAGCAGGAGCCTTGCTCCGTCGACAGAAGTTTCAAACAGTTGGTGGGCATGAAGTAAACACAAGAAAAGGGAGATCGACAGATAGAAGTGGAGATTTAGTATACTTGGAAAGCCTAGAAGGGAGATCGTTGGTTTCGATATCCATATACTGTTTTTGTGGCCCATCATTGCATGATCCCACACGTCTACACCATAATTGCCGCTGTAACTGCCCCCTGACTTCGAATCTTCAAGTCCCCTCTGCCAAATATTGACTCTTCCCTGTCGACCTTCCTTTTCACCATTGTGGGGCATGTCCCTCGTCATTATGAGTTAGTGGGCACACTTTCAGGAGGAAGTATAAGACAAAGCAGGAGCCTTGCTCTGTCGACAGAAGCTTGAAACAGTTGGTGGCCATGAAATAAACACAAGAAAAGGGAGATCGACAGATAGAAGTGGAGGTTTAGTATACTTGGAAAGCCTAGAAGGGAGATCGTTGGTTTCGATATCCGTATACTATTTTTGTGGCCCATCATTGCATGATCCCACACGTCTACACCATAACTGCCACTGTAACTGCCCCTTGACTTCGATTCCTCAAGTCCACTATGTCAAATATTGACTCTTTCCTGTCGACTTTCCTTTTCACCATTGTGGGGCATGTCCCTCATCATTATGAGACAAAAATCGACAGAATATTGTCCACTAAGCACAACCACAATCCTTGCAAACTGGGCCACTAAACCACAACACTTGGCCACTCACTGTTACTGCCCGACTTTGAATCATCAAACTCTGGAAAATATTGAATTTTTCCTGTAATTTAATCAAAATATATTCAATGTTGGTAAACTTGAAAATATGTTTGAAATAACCTTTTTATGTATTGTAATGACTTAAACACAATTATTGTCCTACATTTTACGTAACCAAAATACACAACTTATTTATATCAAAAACAAAATATACATCTCGGGTTTATAATAAAAAAAAATAGAAACTACTTTTTTTAAAATAAAAGTTCACTCATATTTTCAGCTAAATTATGATTGGTTATTTTTAAAAAATTCCTCTTTGCACCTATTTTTCCCACATCCTGCAAACAGCTACTCCATTCAATTGAGGACACATGGCAAGTCCACCTGAAGACAAGGGTTATCAACTAACATTGAATCTTGCATGCCACCTGAGTTACACGCTGGAGCAGTTAGTGGCAGTGCTCATGGATTTAGTGGCTAGCCTCCAAGAGGAAACATGAACGAATTGGGAGTCTGTATCTGTCGAGGAAAGGCTAAAAGGACTTGGGCACAGGTGGGAACTTCAATTATATGCACTTCGACAGGTACAAGTGAAGGTTTTATGTAGTTTCAAGACACGAAAATGGCCGTGCAGTTACAGAAGTTGCACATAAGCAGTTGCAGAATCGGCAGATCATGGGGTCGTGGGAAATAATAACTATAAAGGGCAGAATGTTTGCAGAGAGAAAGGACATGAAAAACAATACAACAACTTACTTTCTACATTGTAACTTCTGAGTAGTTTTTTCCCTTCTACTTTCTACTTTGTTACAAACAACACAACAGCACAACAACTTACTTTCTACTTTCTACTTTCTACTTTCTACTTTCTACTTTGTTACCATCAGTTCATCGAAAGAAGTCTTCATCCTTTTCAGGCATTCGAACCAATACCACAATTGTTTGATTTTCTTCTTTAACTTGTCAACTTTAAATTACTGCTTCGTTGCTGTCGATATAGGCCGACCATAATTTTACTAACAATAAACCCATCACTTTCATAGTTAATATGAAATAATTTCACAACTCCTGTTCGTTACTCGTAATTCATATAGCAATCGGCATGGAGATAAAGTAATGAGTTCGTTGGGTTACTTTCTCCAAGTAACACCCAAAATTAACTGCCATTTGGATTATATACAAAATGCATGTGCTGGTATGTAATTTTGCAAACCCACATGGACAAAATTTGTATTTTACTCGAAATATAATACTAATTTACCGAAACAAGACATAACAAATCAATACGAAGCCAAACACATCGTTAGTTGATAAATCACACCGCAAAAAACCCTTCAGTTAGATCCAACCAAATATGGAACAAACACAAGCAACCCGCAATAGGAATCTTGAAATACAGACATAAGCCAATTTCCCACCCAAAACAATACACAGACAACCCATATATATCTCACCTTTAATTAGTTTTCAATATCACAAGTCACTGCAAACACAAACGACAACATCACTCTAAACAATATGGGAAATTTACAACTCGTGGCCTTGTACATAAGTAACGTTGTGCCATTTCCTGGCATTGTACATAACCAATTATTTACACGTTACGCAAAACAATCCGTGCAAAATGAAAACTACATACATTATTTACATGTGTTTTCAATAGCTAGTACTGTCTACCTAATAAATTAAGGGAATAAGTAAATCATACAAATTATACAATTACCTGATTCACCTCATCAATTGTGGTCGAATCATTTTTGCACACTGCTGCTTCAACACTAACGTATTGGCCAACGGGTTGCTTGGAATCAGGAGAACCATCGAAAAATAGTCACCGTTGCTTAATGTGCGGTGTACTTGGATCCACCAACCCAGTTTTGTAGCGAACGGGCAATGACTCCGCATTGTACTCACGGTCAGTTATGTGGGTTGTATCTGCATCTGAGTTACTACCCACTGTTCGGCTAAACCGAACCTTAGGACACATTCGCTTTGTGTGCCCAATGCATTTGCAATTCCCACATTTTCTTGGTCTTCGACAGTTGGACGAGGCCCGTCCCGGGTTCCCTTTTGTCTTCACAACATTAGGATCTTCTACTCCAAATTGTCGAGGGAATGAATGTTTCCCTTTGTCTCCATTCCCATCGTTCAGATTCCTCTCATATAACTCCTTCATCCGGCTCGTCATCGGAAGACATGCATCCCTAGCCTCTTTGAAACCTTCCGTTGATTGCGAGGCATAGAAACACATTTCATTGTAGGAAGAACTCAATATCTCATACCGGGCCGTCTGTGTTGTAGTGCTATCAATTGAGAGTTGAGGCCATTGCTGGCCATCCTTGCTTGCAGCCCTTGTCTATCTATGCAGGACACAAGTTGGGGGAATTTGTGTTAAATTTTCGGCTTTCATAACACATATCATGTGACAGCAAGGTAGCCCCAATGACTCAAACTTCATGCAAGAACATCTCATTGCAGCATCCGCTGGACTGTGTGTTACTATCCATGATCTATCCTTCAATTTGTACTTATGAATATAGTAGCATCTCTGACCATCCGGCAAAAGGAACACGCCCTTGACATTCAACTTCCCCTCTTCTAAGATTTCATCACGGAACATTCTAAATATATTTCGGGTGAATAGCTCAGCTCCATGTCTCTCTATATCTCGCAATGGAGTAATCAATACCGGAAAAAGTGTTATTTGTTTCAGCATCATCTCCAGCCTCGTTATACCTTATCATTGCAAGAGCCCAATCATAGTGCCTAACAAATTCATATAGCTTCAATTTGTGTTGGAGGAAGGGATTGAAATAAGCATTCATACACTCCGAGCGTTGAGTGCTCTTCATCCTAGCAAAGAAATGTCCACGTATATATGCCTCAGCCCACATATGACGCTTCTCATATGTCTCCAACACCCAATTGTTGGTTTGAAGTCCAAATTTTTCAATCATTGTCGTCCAGCCATGCTCAAACTTTGTCTCATCCGTTTCTATGTCCATGCACTGCTTGAAAGCATGTGCAAAGCCACTTATGTGAACATTTGAAACAGTATTTTTCCCAAGATGCCAATTACATAATCGATGTCTTGCATCTGGAAATATTCTTCTGATTGCCTCTCGCATCGCCTTATCCCCATCTGTCAGTATGGACATAGGTGCTTTATTGCCCATCGCCTCCATAAATGTTTCCAAAACCTATGTGTATGTCTCACTTGTCTCATTAACTAGCAAAACACATGCAAATATCGTGGTCCTAAAGTGGCTAGTCACACCAGTCAACATGACAAAAGGTTTCTTGTATGCATTGGTTCTGTAAGTTGAGTCAAATATCAACACATCACCAAACTTTGCGTAGTCGGCCCGCGATTTTGAATCTGCCCAGAACAGATTTTGTAACTTGTTATCGTTACACACATCATACTTGTAAAAAAAACATGCATCAACATCAAGTTTTGCACATAGGTAAACCAACGCACCCTGCGCATCACCATCCTCAACTTCTGCTCTACATTCGGCTTGAATATGGTTGTGCAGATCTGTACAGATGAAACCAACATTCTCATAAGACTCGGATTGATTTACCATATAGTCCATGATTTGGCTAGTCTTCACACCGACGTTGCGCATAGCCATTACTTGAGCTTTGTTAGCACTGTTTAAAGTGCGATGTGACCTCAGATACATCACACAGTGTTGTTCCGCCAATTCATGGTTGTGGTCTGCGACGAAGTGAGTCACAACATACTTTCCCCCTTCACCAGCATCTGCATTGTATCGTATGCGAAATTGGGCTTTGCAACCTACTCTTGTTAGTGCCTTGGGAGCTCTACTCTTCTCAGCAACACGGTCCAAGTATTTTGGTAATCTCTGACCTTCCTTTGAACACAACCACAGCCTACTAACGACCTTTCCCTATTTATTTGTGTTAAATCTGGATTTTCGTATACTAAATCCCTTGGTTTAGCATACGCATTATAGAAAGCTTCTCCATCTTCAATCGAATCAAATTTCTGTTCCAGAATAGCACGTTCAACATCACCAACCATGTCATTGCGATGAGCATCGTCAACCATTTCTTTTTTCACATCGGCTCCGCCATCTTCAACGTTCATGTTGGTTGCTTCTTCATTGCTCGGACCAGCTTCGCAACCATGATAAGGTTCCGCCCGACTTTCATTCATCAAACGAATGTCATCTGCTTCATTTGGAATGTCATAATCATCACCTTCCCTTTTAACTTCCGCTGGGGCCATACTGCACATGACATTAGTACAAACAATTACTTGATGACCGAAAAATGTTAACATAAACACAAACATGACATTTTCACACGGTTTAGTTGTTTGTGCAAACACAAACACTCGCTTGAGAAAGAGAAAGGTTAGTTGCCAATGGAGGGGTTTCCATTTCAGCGAAGCGTAGAGCGGTTGAAGTTAGGATGGGGGTTTAGTTGAGGGAAAGTAGCTGAAGTGAAGAGGCCAGAGAGACAGAGAGGGATACAGAGAGAGGGAGACAGCTCCATACCTTATATCTAGTTGGAGAGAAGGGCTTCACTTCAGCAATCGAACCAACACAGCCTTGTAGTTCTGTTGTTGTTGGAATCGCCCGTTATACTGTTCCTACAGAGCTTCGTCAATGGAACCAACCCAGCAAGGGCTTCTCGCTGTTAATGGAAATCAAGGGTTACACTGACTCAACCTTACACAGAGAGAGATAGAGACGAAATACAGAGAGTGAGTGGGATGCAATCATGCAAATACAAATACAAGCATTAACCGGTTGCCCCGGTTTCAACTTTTTCACGATTAAACAATTCAATAGTCTTGATCAATTATTGTAATCTAACGGCTAACAATTGGGTTGCATATGTTGTGCAACCTTAAGGGGGTTGCACACTTAAACATAACCCTTAATCCAGACATGATTGAGCATTAACGGAAAAGATACAAGATACATGATTAATAGATGAAATACATGAACCATAAACATAAATGTAATAAATTATGTGCCAAAAATAAATTACATCATTTTTTTTTTACTTGTGAAATATAATTATTAAAATTTGGTTTCATAGATTAAAATTTTAATAAATTAAATTATATAAACTATAGTTAATATTATGGAGTATTGTTATGTATTGACAGTGGCCTATCCTTTCTTTTTGTAGGTCTACAAATATTTTAATTTTTTGTCATGTATTAGTGATAATCCTAAACAAATTGGTGAAATTTCATTACAAAAAAGGTTTTTCTACCGTTTTACAAAATGCTAGAACAACATATAATTTTTTTATTTAAAATTTTTTAAGTGTTCAAACTTGTTTATTTTTAACAAAATGATTGATGTCAAAAATGGGATAGAAAAAAAGTTGATCAATTTAAAAAAAATATCTATATCTTATCACATTACAATCTATTAATTTAGAATAATTATAATATATTAATTTCCTCCAATAACTCAATTATATATATATATGTGTGTGTGTGTGTGTGTTTTAGAAATAACTTTTTTGGTGAAAAAAAAAAAAAAATGCCAACAATAGAAATGAGTTACTCTACTTTGGTGAGAAAAGGAAAGCCAAACCAATTAATAAATGATACAACTTATAATACATGATTCTCATCATATTGTATGGATTTGCTTCAACTCATATGATACTCATGTTGAAGTTGAAGTTTGAAGTTAGAATGAGTTTGCTGTGACGAATTGGTGGTTTTTCTTTTTATGTTTTTCAAAACCAAAAAGAAAAAGAAGACAAAAATGACATCAATAGATAAGGTATTCTGTTTACCATGAAAATGCTAATATTAGGAGTTGCTTAATTAGCATATTAACTAGTGTGTTATTAAACAATTGTTTTCTAGCATGTATCAACAATGTCACATAACATTCATTTTTCACCCAAAAAATAAAATATAATGAAATTATCAGATGTGCCCATTTGTATTGGGGATAAAGGATATTATTAGAGGACTTGCGACCTTAGATCTCATTTTTCTAGTCAAATTACACTATAGACCAGCTTTTACAAGCTTTGTTGGTGAAATTATTTTTTTCTAAAAAAATAAAAATAAAAATTTGTCCACCCATAGAGTATGTTATATATATATATATATATATATTGTGTCTAGTTTATGTATTTGCTAGATCTGTTCTGCCAAAATTGCAACAAACAATCACAACACAAACAGTGGATTAATAGGATGGTCTCCACATACCTAGTGTATTATATATATATATTAAAAAAAAATGGTTCAATTTGATATTTATTTTTAATTTCATTTTACTCTGTCCAAACAAAGAATAAATGATGACTGGCCAAAATACAAAAATAAAAAGTCAACATTTTTTGAGAGAAATATTCTTACCATTCAAAGTATAGAAAATCACATAACTATTGATCAAAAGACATATTCACAGAATATATTGCCAAGAAAAAAATATTTATTCATCGGAGAAGTCTAAATATTTCCCGTAGAATAAAAGAACAACTGAATGATACTTATTTTATTAGCATAGCAATTATTCTATTTATTGTCATGGCAAAAGATTATACACAAAATATCATGCAATTTATATGGGAGAAATTTCATTCTTTAATTTATGATATTTTATTGCATTTGGAAATGTGTAAGAGGATTTTTATATATTTACATGTTTAGTGTTCAATGTTTTTTTTCATAATTTCTAACATTACTCATAAAACAAGACGATACAATTACATCTTGCTGTCCTTGAGGACCCCGAATGTTGTCATAGCTGATATGAGTGGAGTTAGTTATGGGGAGAATTAGCCTAGCAATCTATTTGTTTAGTTTTATTTTTTTAAACTCTTGTTTCGATATAATTTTCATTTGAATCGAAGGAAAAAATTAAAAATAAATACCACTTGTAGAAGAGAATTTTCATTAGTAAAAATTTACAAATAAGTGCGACAGTATTAAAAATAATTATATTATAGATACAATCTCTTTTGGTATAATTCTGATACACAGAAAAGACTTATTTTATACTCACAGAAAATTTATACTACCATAAAAATATAAATATTTTTTTATTGTCTCACTGATTTATAATTTCTCCAATTTTCATTGATAGCAAATTTTGATAGTTCAATTTTTAAACTTTTTGAATTTGCATCATAATCTCACGTGCCACAAGAAACAAAAAGGTAAACAACACTAAAGAGAACCCCAGACGGCCCTGTATTTCCGTGAAGTATGATAATTGACCAGTATATTTTTTCCTGATTTTCCAACCATAATAGATTATCTATTTATTATTTCATGAAAAAATTGCAGTTCTCTAAAATTGTTGCTTCTGGGAGGTATGTGATTACTTGCTTCATATACAATGATGATTTCAGAGGCTGTAGAGCTCTATTGATGATGGCAGGAAGCACAAAAAAAAAGGAAAAAAAAAAAAAAACAAGATTACATGTACACATCATTAGTGAATGGGGCCACTGCCAGCCTCATTAGACCCTGCTGATTAGAGCTTAAAACATTTTTCTTTATTCATGATTGCGAACATATTCACCCGTTGACAAAAATTAATGCCCAAGCTGTCCTCCAAGTAACATTAGTCATGTCATTTATGTCACATAATATTAATATTACTAGAGAAGCAAATGGAATAAAATATTGGTCCGTTCAATTGTATTAAACAAATGACAAAAAGTATTCTTATTTTTAATGAAGAATTTTTTGCTTTACTAAGAAAAGTTTCATTGATTTTTTGTTACCAATGTGTTATTCCACTGCCCAATTAGTTTTTACCAAACAAGGATTAATTTCATTACCAAATGAATTCCCCTCAACCAGGAAACTTCATAA